TAAAGTTCAGAGGGGCTGGGGATGTAGCTCTGTGGTAGAGCACTTGCCTAGCATATGTGAGGCCCTGGATTCAATCCCTCGTAGAAAAGCCTGGAACTTACACGTGAAAATGCCTGCTGGCCCTCCTCATAGTTAAACACCCACCATGCTCAGTCATTCTTCAAATTCTTCTTTCACGGCTGCCTAAGGCAGTCAGAGAACCTGCTGATTAACCTCAGTGAAGGCAGATTTTCATTCTTGGAGGATGTGTTTGATGTTTGGGAAATGGCCAGAACTCACTGGGAGACAAATCTGGTGAAAAAGTAAAGGAGAGATTAAGTGGCATGAAATTGTTTGAGATTAAAACTATGGGGTCGCTATAAAGTAACATGGTGGGTTGAAACAGTATCTGGCTACAAAGGAGACATCCCCCAAAATGCTCTCAGCAGAACTGTCCATGATTTCAAAGAGAAAAACCTGCTTGGATATGTGGTGACGTCCATGGGTCTTCATTTAAAAGGACCCAGTATCACAACTGTGTGGCCCAAACCTATCTAGAACAGCCTCTTTGGAAGGAACCATKCTTGCCTGTTATTGATTATATTCTTCCTTCCATGACAAGAGATAAAAGACCCCAGACATCCTGACAAAGTAGTGTGGCCATCCCTGAGGCCCGACAGACAAGATGGAAATGAGATCAGCTACTGGGAAGGACAAAYGATAAAGATCACAAATCTTTTGGAATCGCTCTGTTCTCTTGGCCTGGTTCCAAGTCCATTTTGCCAAGTTGAAAATATCCTATCACTAAGAAAGAGTAAAAATATTTGGTGATGGTAATGGGAGACCTAGGATCATGGAATCAGTCCCAAAACCTTTGCAGAGGGTTGCAGATTTGGTCTCTAAAGTGAGATTTGGTGTCTAGGTGAGGGGAAGGGAGTMAAGTATTCAGATAGTGGAAACAGGTTTTAATATTTGATATATACATTTCTGACTGTGTTTATAACCTTGGCCAGGTTTTCTAACCTCTTTGAGCCTTACTTTCTTATCTGTAAGATGAAGTCGAAAATAATAGTTTTACTTTCCTCCTAGAGTCCTGAATTAATGCAAGAATATGGCACACAGTAAGTGCTCAGTAAATGAGAGATGTCACCGAGAAGGAAGATCAGAGGGGGCTTTGGTAACCTCTGTTATGGTTCTTAACTAAAAGAGGGGGCACCTCTCCTAAAATTAGAATACCTGATCAACATGACCATAGATTAGGTAAGTAATGGGCAATGAATAAATATTAAAACGGTAATTCTGGGGTTTGTCAGTTTTCATTTCATAACACACTGGGAAATGCCTGAATTAACCAAGGAGTTATTATCAAGATGACCATGATTTTCTCAAGCTAACCAATTACCAATATGTCCTCCTGCATTTCATAACTCCCCACAGGTATACAATAGTAATTCCCTTTTCCTTCCTTCCTTCCATCTATCCATCCATCCATCCATCCATCCATCCATCCATCCATCCATCTAATATTCAACAGGAGTTTTCTGAGAATCTGGTATTTGCTTAATATTGAGCTTACACATTGGGGACAAGCAATGATCATGAACATCTTTCATGAATTTTTAGAGCCTAGAGGGCATTTATTGAAAAAGGACATTTTCTTGAAAAAGAACTTTTTTTTTTAAAGGAAGATTAATGATCAGTAGCTTAAATGGTTTGGATAACTGAGAAATAGGGGTCAAGGTAGGCAAGAGAATAAGAGCAAATAAAAGAATATTGGGGAAGAATGGACTTTAGCCATCATTTAATTGAACCTCCTAGTTTTATAGATGAGGAGAGTCAGGTGGAGAGACTTGCCCAGGGTCACTTGGGAAGATGATGGAGAGGGAGATAGCAAAGAGAGAAGATCCCACAGATGATAGAACATTATTGGAACCAATGGATAAGATTGGGTGAGTAGATATTAGTTAATTCAGGAAGCACTGTCCTCTGGATGAGCAGGGAAGGAGGAAGAGAGGGGTGTTTTTGTTTTTTTACTTCTCATGTGAGTTCTGGGAAAAGCAAAAGGGGTCCAAGGAGTGCAGAAGATATCCTAAGCCTCCATTGATGGCCTCTTTCCATTGCAATCCTTTCTGTTTCAGTAGACCCATGGCATTCACACCTGGACAATGTCATCTCCTTCTCCCTCTTCTTCTCATCTCTGTCTTTCTATGACTCCTCCTTTCTTGCATCTCTCCTTTCTCTTTATTYTGTGCCATTCTCCATCCTTGAGTTCTTCTGGTGGACCTGACTGGGTTGAGGGCTGCGTATGGGAACAGACAGCAGAAGAAGCGCAAGGAACATGCTCTAGTCTGGACACAAGCTAGTGAAGTGACAAAGCAGAGTATTGTATGCCAAAAGCATCCCCATTTGTGCCTTGAGCGATTGGGGGGAAGAAGACTGGAAAATCTTCCTTCTGAGATGGGACCAGTGTTGAGCTCATAATAAATAATTATAACAGCTACTATTTATTGAACACTAATTATGTGGTTGGCATTTTGCATCCCTTCCTGGTTGAATTCTGACAATAACTTTGGGAGGTAGGTATTATCTCCATTTTACAGACTGCTTAAGTGAAGTAATTTATTCCATGTTGAGCTGCTAGGATCGGACAGACCCAGGATTTGAACCCAGAATGGTCTGACTACACAGCCCTCACTGTGAACTGTCTCATCTACTGGGGGCTCCCATGGGCCTTTGTGGAAGGCTTTCCAAACTTTGATCCAAGGAGTAGATGAAGAAATGTGGATAGAACAGTGACTACCCAAACTTCCATTCTCAGAATGACCCTAAACAGGGCTGTCCCTCTGGCTGATTGTGAGGCAGAAGGAAGGCGATGGTTGGTAAACCATCTTTAGAGGGAGCAGGTGTCACCATCCCTGGGAAACCACTGCCACTAAGAGACAGTGACATTTCTAGGCACCTGATATTCTCCCTAGAACCTTAATGCAAGTCCCTATAGTTTTAGCTATGAATACATCCTCACCCATAAGCAATACATGCATCATATTCTCTCTCTCTCTCTCTCTCTCTCACACACACACACACACACACACACAAACACACACACACACACACACACACACACACACACACACACACACACCCCAGTATCACTCCATCGTCAATTCAGAACACTGCCCTGCTCCTTCCCCACACCCAGCCAGGACCCCAGACTCACTTGGACTTTGACCAAGAGTAGCATCCGCAGAGCAGCTGGGAGCCACGCAGAGGCTGTGGGCCGGGGCAGCTCGATCCTCTGCCGCTGCTGTCACTGTGACCGCCGCCGAGGAGTCATTTCCTAATGACCGAGCAGGTYGGTAGGACAGCGCGGGGAAGTGAATGTTGCCCAACCCGTTTGAGACCAGGAGGCTCTTGACGTTGCCCAGGGGTTGGGCAGCTGCTGGCATCAGGTGATCCTGATGAGGATGCTAGGAGAGGAGCCTCTAGTCTGAGTCAGAGGGGCTCACGGTGGAGACAGTGACCCAGG